CAGCCGAAAATCACGATATATTGCCAAAATGATTTTTATCCCACAGCCCTATCAGAATCAGAGCTTTTTGTCACAACCGATCACTGACCACTGTGCTGGAATACAGGCACACTTCACTTATCTCAGAAAGCTTTTAAATATTAGTTAGAATGCCAGTCTGATAAGTCTCTTTTCTCTTCATTAGGCCTCTCTCTCACAACATTACTACCAACCATCTTTTCATCACATACCCTCCTATAGAACTCGTATTTGTGCCTCTAACTTGAGGGTTTACGCTCCGTACCAAACTGTAGCTCTAACATTCAGCTCCTCTTTGTGCCATATTGGTTGTGATTCATGCAATTGTAAGGCACTTTACAGTTAAAACAGCTGTATTGTTTTAATTTTTTAACAGGTTTATGTAGAACAAGCTCAAAATCCAATGAAACAGGATTTAAAGAACTGATAGATCTTTAGTTACTATGAGTTGATCAGCAGAAGTCGTCATAGTGAAAAAAACAAACTAGCCTATATCAAAAGGATAAAATCTTAACCTTAAAAAACTAAATATTTAAGGAACTTAAACCTAAAAAAAAAAACCTTACAGTAGTAGGATTCCAGCTAATCTGAATGCTGCTTTACTCAAGAGGCTGAAATGCTCTTAGCACAGAGAGGCCACGCCTGACTTTGCATTGGGAGCAGCGGTGAAAAATTCAGAAGCACTAGAAATGTACAAGTAGAACTGGTGAAAACTAAAACTAAAACTTCAGAAAAGTTCACCAACAGACTTTTTTAAATCCTAAAAAGTCTCAGTGAATAAGACTTTCTCTGGATAAACTGTATGATGCGACTCCTCCTCACCTTCTCCTCATCTTTAGCCTCTTCCACCTCAGGCTCGGACGTGACAGACGACGTCTTGGGCTTGTACCAAGAAATCTGAAGAACGCGACCTTTGAACTTGGCTCCCTGATTGGCTGCCTAAAATACAAAACATAAGGATTATTCAAAGAACAAGAAGGAAAGAGCCTGAGCTGCTTTGGAGCATGAAACATACATTCTCTGCTTCGCCTCGCGTCTTAAAAGTCATGATGACTGTGTTGGCATCTTGGTCACGGAGTTCTTCGATTTCACCAAAATCTTAACACGACAGACATAAAACTCCTGCTAATAATTGTGTATAACAATCTGTATGTTCACACCACAAAATGCGGCATTAGCTCTTCCTTTTCCTCCTGTGTGACTCCTAAAATGGCAAGCGTTCTGGTTCTGTGGTCCACAACCATGCGGTTCACAACCCCACCGCGAGCCATCATCTCCCGGCTTCGGCTCCTGCCGCGCCCCATGTGCATCGCGCCGGGATCCAGCGCCATCTTCCCGCGGCCTCGGCCCCGACCCGTCGGTGGGATCAGACCAAGTCGTTTTGCCTAAAGAAATGACATAAAATGCTTGGTTGCTGATTTTTTTTCCAAGTCACAAAGTAAACCTCAGTTCTGAGACGTTGTAATCCCAAAAACATGTTGCCCGCCTTGCATACTGATGAAGGTCAGAGGGCACGGAGGGCAGTTAGTGAGCCCCATGGCAACTGTGGCTACTATGTAGCCACTATTAGTGTGTGATTGGGTGAATAACTAAATCAACTAACTAACTAACTAACTAAATGGATGTTTTTCGTTTTTTTTTTTTTTTATTAGTTGCATGCTTATTTTCAAATGCCAACTCTTATTTTAAAACTTTAATTTCTGAATAGGATCAAAAGATCTAATGCTTAATAAAATAAAAACAAATTAAAAACATCAGAAAGATCAGGGGTTAAAGAATCTGAGAAGTTTAAAGACCGCAGACTTGCAAATAGGATCATATCCAAATAACCTTAAAAAGGGGCAGGGCTACAGGGAAAGGGTTCAGTTTGAAATAAGTAGTTAAAAGTCATGAACTAAATCTTAATAAGAGTCTGTGGCAGACTTAAAAAAATGTTGAACACTGGCTGGAGAGTGTCTGAGCAAAGCAAGGTTAGCTGCTAAAGAATTTGTAGATGTCCAAACCTGGTTGGACATGCGACACCCCACAGTCTTCAGATTTCTCATTTAAGCCCATGTTTAACTTTGATTCCGCTTCACATCTGGGCACCTATTTCTGTTCTCTCAAAGGAATGTCCAAGAAAATGTGTTTAAAGGCATACTATGGACTCTGTGACCTAAAGAGTTGTGGCACATGAGTTATTTTAAATGATTCCTCAGGCGAAAATACAGCGTTTGACTCCATTACTGCTACAAGCGGGGCTCCCCCTCTGGAAATACTATTTAAGCTACCGTCGTTGACCAGGTCATGTGACCTGGAAGAACTTATCCCTTTACGGCTGTAGGCTCTTATTTCTTCATGGAGCTAAGGCTTTTGCACTACTATTTTTCCACCTGCTTGACTATTAGTCATGGCTGAGGCAAGGAAAAAGTTTAACCCATCTAAGGAGGCTGAAAACAGAAAATGTGAAAGGTATCGTGCACGAGAAAAAGAGTCGATCATGGAAAGGAGATTGTTCGTTGGCGCAAGCCGAAAGGAGCCGTATGTGAAATAAATTCTCTTTTCTCAATTTTTATTCATATATCTTTGTTTTTATTTTCAATGTTTAGTTGAAGCAAAATACTGGCAGTTACAGGTCAAGCACCCCTGGTGGCCAAAAGTTACACGTGTGCCTTTAAGGTTGTGGCTGTAATGCAAGATTTTGAAAACCTCTATGGGTATAAATACTTCCACAAGGGACCAAATATGTTCACCTCTCCCACTACAGCATATGCTGTTCTTCCTCCATTTTTAACAGGACATCTCTCTTCTTCATCACTCAACAAGCTAACAGCCTACTCTCTTCACCATTTGTCCCTGCCTCACTTAGGCCTTTAATTGTCATTCTGTGATTTCCTTACACGGACCAGCACCTCAAACTTTAATGAGACAGGGCTGCATCAGTGTAAGGACTTGTGTCTGATTTGGCTTCGTTAGTGGCTACTCCTCTGGGCTTGCTTAAGTGGCTTCGGTTTAATGCGCAGAAGGACGTTTGGGCTTGAATAGATGAGGCGGGTTTGGGGGCAGAGGATATGCATTTTTAAAAAAACCAGCTAATTAAGGACCCCTGGGATAGAGCAGGAAATATGCAAGTGTGGTGTTTTAAGTGTGGGGTTATGTTGACTTTTGGGGCTCCACCCATTAGTGTCCATATTTGCGATACATTTAGGCCCCGTCCACACGAAGTCAAAATGAACACGAAACGCTGATATTTTCCAAAACGTTTGCCGTAAAGATGGAGACGTAAAATAAATGTGAGTGTCCACACGAATGCAAGAAAACGCTGCAAAATGTATGCCAGGCCTGTAAGTGGCGCTGTGGTGCCAAAGCAAAAATAAGCGACGAAATGTTGGGCATGCGCACTAATATTTATACATGGTTGCCCTGCGGGTCCATTTTCGTGGTTAAGTCAAATTCAGGTGCTGAACTATGTCGTCGATATTGCTCTGTTCTTCCTGGAGATATTCCAGAAGAAGAAGATTCTGTTGTAAGCCCGACAGCAGGGTGAGTAGCATTAGCAGCAACGGCGCCACTGTTGTTGTGATACTGGTCGCGCATGCGTGTTTAGAGGCGACGCTATGACGCATGCGTGTAAAAAAAAATATGCGGTTAGAGCGTAAAGATGGAAACGCGAAAACGGCGTTTTGAAATCTTCCCACTCTGAAGGCTGAATAAAAAAAAGATCGTTTACAGACCCCCAAAACGCCGGCTTCGTGTGGCAGAGAGGCTGGTTTGGTGAAGAATTTGTGCGTTTAGGCCAGGGTTCGTCTTCGTGTGGACGGGGCCTTAGACTGTAGGCTTGATTCTCATGGTCAGGGTTTATGTGATTAGAAGGAATGATGACAATAATACCATTCAAATAAATATGTAAAATGTGAAAGATGAAAACTGAAACATACCGTATGTTAAATTTACTCTTTATATCATTATTATGAATTTGTTTGGTGTGGGCCTGAGAGATCACCCCAAATGCAACATAGAAAACTGATTTCAGCTTGAAAAAGACTGATGCTTTCATATTTGAGACATGTTCTGTGGAGTGTCAAGGCTAAAATTTAAATGTTTCAACATAACTGCTATGTTCAAAAAGAAAAAAAAAAGATGGGGAACCTTAGAGCCTGAGAAATATTTGACACATTAGACTAAGATAATACAGTTTAAGAGGCATTTCCATGAAAGAAGAAAATGTCGGTAAATTTCAGATTTTAAAGAAGAAAAAAAAAAGTGTTGCAGGTAAAGCCATTACTAAGAATAGGTGAATTTTACTTGACTGATATAAAACAGTCAGATTAAAAAGAACGTTTTTTCCTAGCCCTGTAGAGCATATAGTAGCCCCCACTTATTGAGTGCCTCTAGTCTGCGGTCTAAAATAAGACTCCAACATTTTTACTAATAGGCAAAACACATTCAATATAACATTAAACAATGAGATCTCAAAGTGGCCAGAGTGTCATCGGTAGGTTTAACCTTTCTCCTTTTGTTCCCTTAAGGCAGGGGTGCTCAAGTCCAGTCCTCAAGAGCTACTATCCTGCAACTTTTTGATGCACCCCATTTTTAACACACCTGAGTCAAATGAGTGGTTCATTACATGCCTCTGCTGAGCTAAATGACAGTATTGAGCCTTTCGATTCAGGTGTGTTAGAGAAGAGATGCATCTGAAAGTTACAGGATGGTAGCTCTTGAGGACTGGACTTGAGCACCCCTTCCTTAAGTTATTAGTCAAACTCACAGTACTGACTGAAACAAGGTTTATTAAAACACACTGCGATGATTAATTTATTGATGCTAAACAGCTCAATCGGAGCCATGGAACCCAATTGCTCTGTGTGAAAAAAGAAAAACAACATTTGTGCGCATCATTATGCTCAGGATTTCTATTCTAATCAAGTTACTTTTGCAGTTCCCTGTAAAGGCTTTTAAAGCAGATGCCGTTTTTAGGTCACTCCATTCCTTTAACTTTCTGCACAATATTTCATTATAACTTTCACATGAAGATATTTCTTTAATCATTTGCTACATCTTGCTGCATGTTTAATTTCTCTGCTGCATGAGCAGAAGGCGGCAAGAAAATAATCTTATCTGCAAACTTCCTCCGACAATTCAAAGTATCACATCCTCAATTTCAGCTTGTAAAATATAAATGCTGATAATATTTGATGTTATCGGTGTTTGTTTGTTCTCCTGTATGGGAAACACTCAGCAGCTGTTCGGATTAGTATATAAACTTTTATAATAATGTTTTAAGGTTGATCTCTGCCAAAAATCTGAGGGTTAAAATGTGTAAAATGTGTTTTTTTTTTTTCTTACCTCCACCTGTAGCTGTCCAAGTTTTCTCTTAAGGTCTGTGGTGTCTTCTCCAGAGCTCATCTTTTTATGAAAGTCTAATTCAGCATCAAGCAACTCTTTCTGGGCCTGACAAGAAAACCACGACAAATACAAAAATATATATATAAAAATAAAAGAACATCTCTTCAATTATCAAGTCATTTAACCCAGGGTTCCTTAACCCAGATCCTCAGGAAACCAGTGTCCTTCATGTTTTAGACGTTTCCTTGCCTACGCACACCTGACCTGAAGTAAAAGGTGATCAATAGACTTTTACAGCATTTAATGGCTACTGAGGAGGTAATACAATTATTTGAATCAGGTGTGCTTAAGTAGAGACGCATCTAAAACATGAAGGACTTAGGGCCCCTGAGGTCCAGGGACATGAAACCCAGATGTTAGAAGAAGTTTAACAATAATAAAAAGCTTGCAGCTATGAAAGTCCACCAACTTATTACTTTAAAACCTTAACATAAAAACCTACATCAGTTTTGGTCTTGGGTTGGTTGTGAGGGGTTTTGCCACTTGAGACCTGAGGGGAGGGGTTCATTTCATTCTGCAGCTGCGTAATCTTCTCCGTTAGCTCCTTCAGGGTTTTCATGATGTTGGCCCGCTCCTCAGGCTTCATAGTACGGTTTTTCTCCAAGCGGTTAATCAGCACCTGAAGGAAGATTGGTGATATTAAATAAGGTGTGTTTAAACAAGCGTAGAAAACATTTAAACAAATTTCACGTCAAAGAACAGTGGAGGAAATAAAGGGGGGCAGTTACTTTCTGACAATCGATCTGTGCCTTCAGCATCTCCTGTTTCTTCTTCCTCATGTCCTGTTGGAGTTTCATTGCCTCCTACAGCAGAAAAAAAGCACTTAGCACACCCTTTTGCCGTAAGTAAATATTTGGTTTCACGAGAACAAAATATTTACTTGTGCGTTTCTTATACAATATGCAAGCAAACCGAGAGAGAGAAAAAAAAAAAAACACTCCCAAAAAATTATTTATGGGCAAACTTACCTGCTTCTTTTTCATAGCTTCTTGAGCTTCTAGCGCTTTTCCAGTTTTCCCGAGACTCTTTGAGGAAGATTTGGGGGCTGTAGCGGGGAAGGGACCTTTCTGTGTGTTAGGGGGAACCTAAAAACGGAAAATAACACATCCATGTAACTGAAACAGGATTACAGACAAAAAAAACAAAAACACAGTGCAAAAACTAGAATGGTTTTCTTGCAAAACTAGGTTGGCACGCAGTTTAATCTAAATCCCTTACTTTTTAGCCTTAATGCAAATAATAATAATCAATCTTTATTGATCTCTCATTCGAGAAATTTACCTCTGCATTTAACCCATCCCCTTGGGGAGCAGCGGGCTGCCATTGTGTGGCGCCCAGGGAGCAATCAGAGGTTAAGGGTCTTGCTCAGGAACCCAAAGTGGAGGCTGTGGGGATTCAAATGGGTACTTGCAACCCTCTCAGAACACAAGCACACTGCTCTAACCCACTAGGCCAACACTTCCCCCAAAAAGCCCCCGAGCTTCCCGAAAAAGGGTTAGGGTTAACCCTTCCCTAATCTCATCACATTCCCTGGTGTGACCACTGCCAATTTGATTTCAGGAATGGAAACCTTCATGATATTTGCATGTGTTGCAGAGAACCAGTATGTTTCAGCACATTATTAAAACTGCATAACTAGTTAATTTTCAAAAACAATAACACTTCTGAACACATAAGGAAGAATAAAAGCGTACAATGAGAGGGTCTGAGTTTGGATTCAGGCCATCGCTCTTTATGACATTTGTGGTTCCAGGTGCTGCATTCAGGGGATGCTTTGGTACAGTGTTGTTCAGTACGTAGGCACCTGGACTGTGTTGTTTGATCCCCTGCAGCAAACCAAAACCAAAAAAACAACCCAAAACATAAAAAGGACAGAAAAGAGAGAGAACACGTAAGGAAGGGAGTAACTGGAATGAGAAATGTATCAGATTACCAAGAGAAATTAAGTTGGAGCCCAATACTGGAGGATTATTATCTTGATCAGCTGGAAATTGCTGATGTGTTTTGAGTGGCAGCTTGGAAACTCAACTCTATGATATTTAAACCATGAATTTAAAAGCATTACTGAGCTGAAGAAACGGCATTCTTGAAGTGAAACGGTGCCAACATAAAAACATTATATAGATTGCTATGGCTACTGTTAGCCACCAGGTGTCTCTGTTATTAGATGGGCTGAAGAACAGAAACTGACACTTTTTCCAAGTAAAGCAGGAACAAAAGCCATAGAGCCTAAAGAAACATCATCTTCTCATCATTACTTAGCACAGTTATTTAAAAAGGAAAATATTCTGTTGAAGAAAATGAGATATCTGAGGTTCATTCTCACTCTGCCAGGATTAGAGCTTCCAGGTAATGCTAGCTGCATTTTGGAAATCTCTGAGTAAAAATAAGGTTTTACACTCTCCAGGGGCAAAGTGCAGTTTTTATGCAAACAAAAAAAAAGGCTTGAGACAGTAAAAATAGTAAAATCCTGTTTTAACAATAGCTGGTTCATTAAAACATAAAATAACTAAATAAAACCTTATTAGAAATGAATCGATTTTTGTCCCAACATCAATTTCATTTCTATAGCTGTGTCTCATTCTTTCCATTGGGCTTTTGTAACATAAAAAGATTAAATCTTCTCTTGGAAAATCCAAATTTTGTCTTATTCTGAAGTCTTCACACAAACCTTATGCATGTTGCCGTGCTGCAGGCCTTGGCCCGGGGCCGAGGCTGGCCCCTGTGTCCCTGGGTTCTGCTCTTGACCCGCAGTGTTGGTGCAGGGCTCGCGGTGCCAGTACACACGGATGAAGCGGTTGTTGAGGACGGCCTGTGTGCTGGATATGGCCCGTCTGGCCTCCTCATTCTTTGTGTACTGGATCAGCGCTGCCTCCGGGTCGCCACCAAACACCACCTGGGTGGAGAGAAGAAGTGAGCTGGTCAGCTGATGCTTCGATTACATTCGCCTTCCATTAAGCCGGGCTTACACTGTGAGATTTTCTGTCCTTTTCGGGGCGACTTTCCAGTCGTGCGACAATTTTCCGATCGGGCCAACTTTCAGCCTGATAGTGCGTCTTGTAGTGGACAGTTTGTAACGAGGGGCGATCAGTTTCTCAAGACCACCTTCCATTAGGAATCATGAGGTGCCCGAGTAAAATTGAGTTCTTTCTGTAAAATTGACGGACCATAGTAGCCACGTTTGCTCAGCCATGTCTTTGTCCAAATACGTTATTGCCTTTTCTTTTTGAC